CAATGAGTAAAACAAATAGGAACTAAAACCTCCCATAATAACAGAATAAGTAATACTCAACTTTCTGCAATCACTTTCTCTTGTACAATGATATCAATCTGTACCCAACTCTGATCACAAGTACCTGTAGGGGACACCTATACTATCTTTGGCCAAGGTTCTGTTTTACCAGAAAGCAATTAGCTATACTTATTTCCCATATCCCTATTATATCATTATTACACAATACTACTCAACCATTTTCCTTCTAATTTCTTAAACTCTTCAACATCTGTATTTCAGCCCTAATAGCTATTTTTTACAATGCTTTGTTATCACAGTTATAATTAAGCTTCGTACTCTTTCCTACTAGTTCTGCCTCTGTTGAGTTTCCTAGACTTCTTGCACACATGTACAAACATTTCCATTGAATTAGACCAGTGAAAAATGATGTCTGAGCTACGTTTGTTTTCCTGATTCCCTCATCTATATGACCACCTCTCATACCAGACTGAGGGCTTTTTTGCATTGTGTTCCTGCATTTTCTTTATCCATTGTGACACTGATTCACCTAGTTGGTGGTGTCCTTTTTTCTTGTAAGTTAAGTCTAGCTCTGGCTATTAACCAAGTTGTTAACCAAACTATTTCTTTTTTTATAAGCAAGGATCCTCTTGTGAGCAGGCAAGTGTCCCAGGCACTTATAGAGGGCTCATCCGTATATAGTAGATAGCTTTCCTCGTGATACCAAAAGTCAAGCATTTCTAGATCTTCCAAAGTCCCTGTAACAAACCAGTTTCTTACAGCATAACCAAACATACTTTGAAAACTTATAAATGTTGTTCCCTCTCTTTTCTAGAAGTGCCAGAAGCTGCAAACCGTTCCCTGGGTGCTTCCTCTCACAGCAGCGTTTCATCCATTTCAAGTACTGCAGACCAGGTAAAATATTAGCTAAATTCACATTACAGAAATCTTCTTATCCTTTACTTTAAAGTAGTATTTCCACACCCCTCTCTGAATAAAATTCATACCCCTTTGCAGAGGGCATCCACATTCCAATTTGTAGTGAGATTGTCTGTGGCACAAATCATCTAAATGTTTGCTTACAACATATAGCATAGGAGAGCTTTAACAAACTGTAGAAAAATATGTAAATAGCATTATACTGAACCTTAGCATTCTACCAGTCACTCTAAACAAAACCCAAAAAAGGCTTCTCAGTTTCAGGTCTTCCTAGCTCCCCAGTTCATAGTACTTCAACATCCTTTGAAACAGGGGAATCTGTGCTGATGTACTTAAGTCTAGTCCTTGATATAGATGGCTATTAAGAGCTTTTAATCACCTACTTTTTACTAATTTAGAGATTCACATAAGGTGTTCAGTAAAAAAAATAATGTGCACCAAGCAGATACAACAAAGCTATCAGCAGCTATTAGCATTAGCCTGCACTGATGTGATGTGCTAAGAAATCCCACAAAATTGTAGGAGGAAACAGTGATGCTCTGTTGACTGGCCCAACACAGCAGGATGCAGAGGGCAGAATCATTTTTATGAACATTGCCCTACTTATTGCAGTTTGGGGTGTCAGCAAAGTTTTAAAAGCTGAGAAGAAAGTCACTGCTATCCCTTGCAGAGGATGCTGTGATGCCTCCGTCTATGTGTTTTAGTCTCTCCCAAGTCCTACTCCTTTCTGTTCCTCTAAACAGACTTCTTCTCATTAATGCTGTCGGTTTTACGACCAATTCTTTTTCCTGTGTTTCGTTGCACCATTAAGCTTTGAATAATCTAAGCAAACGCAAAGTTATTTTCATTTCAGTGCTATTCCCCTTACTCTCATTTTGGATCAAGGGAGACTAAAAAATGCAGGAAGCCATTCTTATTAGCCTAGTAGGCACAAACAAGGTAAAAATAGTTCTGTTGAGTGCAAAACAAAGGCTCTATTATGCAGAGCCAGTAACATTAAATGTTCTAAAGCCTGACATGACAAAGATAATACAACAGTGAAGAACACAAAGGACTTAAAGGTCTGGAAAAATTTTAACAGTATGTCATACTGGATATTTATTATAAAAATTGCTTTCAAATAAACAGTCCAGCAGACACTAAATAAACAGCTTGTAACAATTACATTTGCAACTTTTATGTAACAGCCAGGGCAAAACCAGAGCTTAATAAAACATCCGTTTTGTTTTAAAAAAAAAAAAAATTAACTGTTAGCGTTATTTTCCCACCAATTATGTACAGTGGTATCATTTGCTTGTAGCATCCTGCACTATACAGGTGCTTGCAGACATGATTCATGCCCATAAGGTTCATTATTTGTTTGGTTCCCATCCAAACTTTGGCAGCAGCTCTCTGCTTCCAGATTATAGGCCACAGATACTGCTGGAAGAAAGGTTTGGGGACAGTTGATTCCTTGTTTTGTTGAACAAAGATTGATTTACTGGACTCATTCTTTAAGTGGCCGAGTCCCTTGCATGCTTGCAATTCCTCTCATCCAATCTTTTTTCCAATCAATAGTGTGACTGGAAAAATACATGGAAGAATTTTGGAGGTAAAGTTCTAAGTCATGGCTTGAGCCAACCTAAGAATTTAGTGCAGTGCCCCCAAAATGGAGGCTCTGCTCTCTCCTCACTGTCAAATGCCCTCCCAGCCACAGGCTTCTCTGGTGTTCCTCTGATCCTGCAGTGGGCTGAGCCAGCTCATTAAACTGGCAGAAAACCAACCTGGCAGTCAAACACAAAACAAGACAAAACAAAAAAGGTAATGAATTTTTTTTTCTGTGGGATTACCAAAGTGAATTATCTCACTGTGGGATCAGGCGAGCAACAAAATAAGCACAAGGGAAAAGCCAAGACATTCCTTTTTTTGGCAGCAATGAGCCAGCTAGACCAGCTCAGCCATAATGTGTAACTTCATCTTTAATCTGTTTTGAACAGAGGTGACAAAGCTTATGTGAAAATGAATTTTATCATTAAGCTTGTTACTATAAAGTTGGAGCAAAACTGTTCAAATGACCAGGAAGGTTAATACCCAGAAGTATTCATTAGGAAATACTCTCAGCACTATTTCTATAGCCTCTACGCTCACTTGAGTTTGCTTTTGCATCACCCTCCTCAGCAAGAGCTCACTTTTTATGATTGCTGGTTTTATAACCTGCTAGTTAATCTCCTAGCTATTGATGTCTGATAATGCTTAGGTCTCATGTTGCTTCTAATCCCTCATCCTGTCCTTCCCTTGAGTATCAATGCTCTTCATACTTCTCTAAAATCCACCATACCTTTCCTCTAAACTCCACTCCTGTTCCCAAGTAGACACTCAGTCCTGCATCATCTTGCTCATACCACTTGCTCCAAACTGCCATCACCTCCTCCCATCTTTGCACTTTCTTTGCTATGAGACCTTTTATCTTCTAAAACAGAATCCACTTATCTTTAGGGTGCCAATCTTTCTACCTTGTATCTTCAGTTCTGCACCTATGCTCCCATCCACAAAGTCCTTTGTCCCATGTTTTCCACTGGAAGAGCAGGTTAAGTTCTTTACAGAACACTGCCAAGCACTTAACAGAATGGAAAGAAGAAGGATGATCTTGTTGAGGTGTTCACAGGGGATAACATATAGAAATGAGGCATCCAAGAGATATGTTATAAAATATAAGCCACTCTTGTATTCTGTCACAGATGTAATCCTTCTCCACAGTAAACATGAGTTTATGCCTTTTAGATAAGAGCACTGTAAGGATATATTGAGACTCAATCCAACAGAGAACCGGAACTGAATCCATACCTCATGTCTCAGGTGATAGCACTGCGGGCTGAACTGCTGTATTAGTAAAGACATTAATTATTCTCCTGTTTTGTAGCATTCCATCCATTTGTCCAAAAAGAGCCAAAGATGCACTTATCCAACCTCCATGCTATCCAGATGGAGGCAATCCTGATCATGTTCACAAATAGCATTAATAATAGATGGGAAACTTCATACCTGAAGCTTAGACACCTACCAAATCTGGACACTTTACGGGCTAGCCCACAGCTGAGCAGCATTTAAATTGTTAATAGTCAATTTATTCCTCAATGTTTCCTGGATACTCTCCTTAAAATCTACTAGAATAGCCTTCTGTTTTAAAAATGCCAATTCCAGTTGAACCTGACTTTCCTCAGGGTATCTTTCTTCTGTCATATATCAGCCTTCTATCACACATCTGTTACCACTGTTTTGACACACTAGTCTTCCTTTGTCCTACCTCTACCCCAAAAAAACAGTGAGTTCCTGGCAAATATTTTTCTAAATTGTGTGTTTTCTTAAGTGTTCTGCTTTTGAGTTCTTAATCGTGGTCACTATTTAATAGTAACTTCTCTACAGGCCATATTCTTTACTATATCATTATTATTTTACAGGTGAAACTGTTTCTTTCTCTTTCTAGGATGCTGGTGTTTATAGTAAAGCATGGTATGCTGCTACCTGTGATAGGAAAACAGCAGAAGATGCATTGTACCGATCAAACAAAGTAAGTCACTTTTAAAGAATGTCTGTTTTATGGAAAAAAATTCAAAAGACAACCAGAAGTATTCTAAGAACACGAGTTGTATTCTGAACAGATCAGAATACTGTGCCATGCAAATACTGTCAAACATGAAATTACTGTGGTAAAACTATTTAACTATGGTTTCCATCCCAAGACAAAGTTGCATTAGTGTAGCTCAAAGACTAGTCCACTGCAGAAAGAGCTATTGCGTACTAGAGAGCTGAGGAAGACCTGATAGTTCACGTGCATCCATTAAAATGGACAGTGGTGGAGATCATTTAAAAGTTACAGGATTGCCTTCCAAAGGTTCATGTAATAACAGTTACTCTTTGGAAAGGCTCATGCCATTATGCATTTTGAAATAGCAACACTGTATTTTGGTATTTGGAGAATTTGAGTTCTCTCAAATATTCCGTGTACAAAAGCTAGTGTCACAGAAGGGAACAGTAACATGTAGAGTTGCATCCTCAGCATCAGGTATGTTTCCACTCTTGCCTAACTCCACAAAGCAGGAAAAAGGGGTAGAGCACTGGGGTTATCACCAGTGTAGGCTATGCTACCTAGTGAGCACTGGGCTTCAGTGTCAGTAGCTGTAGGTGCTAGTCTTTATCAGGGTGCTTTTTACAGCTCTGGAGAAACAGTATCTCCAACTCTCACTGCTTTCTTGCCTACCTACTACCACTGATAGTAACTTCATTTCCTAATAATCTGTGGACTCCAACAGACTGCTGCCGCTGTGTATTCATTTCTTCTTTCTTTCTCTGGTTGAGAGAGAACAAGCAGCAGCAAAGGGGACTCTTAAATGACACCTGTGTAAGCTACTGTTGGACAACAGGAATACATGCTAATTCCCATCTCCTGCAGTACAGCTTTCCGAATGAAGACAAGGGTTTAATGCTAATATAGATAAAAATATTAAGCTAAAAACAAACTAAGATGTTGGGAAAAAAATAACTACTTTTCTCTCTTTAGGATGGATCTTTTCTAATAAGAAAGAGCTCTGGACAGGATTCACGGCAACCATACACACTGGTTGTGTTTTACAACAGAAGAGTATACAACATTCCTATACGATTTATTGAATCAACGAGACAATATGCACTGGGCAGAGAAAAAAGTGGCGAAGAGGTGAGATGATGTGGTTTCGTTTTTTGCTAACCAAAAGGTATATACCTTTAATAAGGTAACCAAGTTATATACCTTTAATAAGCAAGGATTAAGATATATTGCACTATGACCAAAAGGATTCTTCATGTATCAAGATAAAAGTATACCCTATATAATGACTGATCTATCAAGCCAGAGAAACCTGTAAGATCAGCTCCTGCATACTGTGAGTAATCAAAACCACAGGTGAAGTTTAAAACATACTCATAGAACTGTTTTGAAAAGTCATCAGGATCAGAACTGCAGCTGCCAAATAAATTCTCCAGCTGTTTATAGTCCTCTAGTCACCTTCTACTTAAGACTGTAGTTAAGTTTCCTGGAAAATCGTAAAGGAAGAAAAGCCATGCTCAGGGGGAAGAAAAAAAAAAAAAAAATGCACACACCACCCTAGCAGATTCTGGATATTAATTTACAGTGACAAACATTAAAATCACATAACTAAAACAGATCTCATTGATGGCTGTCTGTACCGTATTACTCCTGGAGATTGCCTTCCCTCTGAGGTGGCTGAACCACAGATGAAGCAGCTTCCAAACTGCCACAGTCTGCAGCCAGGTATATAATAAGGTAAACTGAAAGTGGTGTCAGTTTAATATGGCATGTACCAACCTCTGTGGTTCAGTTTGTGCAGGCAGCAATCACAAATGGAAAGGAGCGTGAGCTGAGACAGCTAGTGGTCACAGTATTTTCCATTGTCCAAATTTAACCTGTTTATGACTAGAATCAGGACTAAGAGCAGGATCAGTGCTCTTACTAAAAGGCAGAGCATCTCATTTAGTAACAGTCATAGCTTCGCTCTCTTCAACAGTGGGAGAAGCAAAGAGAAAGAGATGATATAGTCCTTATTGTCAGTGTTAGAACATCAAAGGAAGCCAGCACTAATTAATTTTTGTTTTCTCTATCCAGCGCTTTGACAGTGTTGCTGAAATAGTAGAAAATCATCAGCGTACCTCCCTGGTTCTAATTGACAGCCAAAACAACACAAAAGACTCAACAAAACTGAAATACATTGTAAGAGTTTCTTAATCAAACCAAAGTGCTAACATGAAGACTTTTTTTAATAATTTCTTTCAACACCTCAAAACATGTGGATCAGGTCTTAAAAGAACATCCAAAATGATGGAAAATACTGTTTAAGAGCATCTACTGAGTATTTCAACCCCAAGTCACTTTATCAGAAAAGTACTCATATTTAACAGAAGCCAAAGCAGACACACTTTTTTCTGTGAATTCATCTGTGAAAACATGGGTATTCAAAGTCACGTGAAGAACTGCATACCACAGCCTGGTCCTTTTGACTGCTATTTAAAGATAGATTTCCTGTAGGACATTTTTCACGTTAAAAATGAGAATACTCACGGTGATCTACTCTTTGCATTTGTTACATTTACCACAGATCACTGCTTTCAGCAATTTCTTTGTAAAGTGCACAGCCCCATAAGTTAGACCAACTCGACCCAATATACCACTGTGTACAAGTTGAAAACAGGACTGTACTTCATGTGATTAGTGGCAATAAAGCTGTCTAAATGTTTTAGATTAATGGACATGTGTTGTCCTTTTCCTCAGCTTTACTCTGTTTCATTAATATTTTTGTTTGTATTTTCAAATGTGCAAATAAAATTAAAAATATTGTGAAGTCTATTGTGTATGGAACCATTGCATCTTTGCATCCTCCCAGCAAGAAAGCATCAATTCACTGTTGTTCTTTTAATGTATATACTCTTATGTGCTCCTTCACAAGTTCTGTTGTTACGAAAACTGTCACATTTTTCAGCTTTAGAACATATATTTGGGTTAAGAGCTCTCAAATTTTGTCTTCAAATTGCCTACTGTTGGTGACCCAAGCACACTGCTTCATTGCTAAACCAACTACCCACTCTGTTCTTGCAGGATTACTGTTTACAGACACACACACACCAAAAAAACCCACCACCTTTCTTTTTTCAGGCCTGTTCTATCACAGTGATTTACTTATTGTATTATTGCAAACAATGTAACTTCCACAGAGGTTAAAGTGGTGAAAATTAAATGGATGAATATATAAATTGCACCAATGAAAAACTTCCAGGAACAGTTATTAATTAGTTCTAGAGATGTTTGATTTCACTGGACCTGAAAACTCATCTGTTTTAAAGGCATTTTCCAAAACTGACATTCTATACACACTGGCTTTGTTCTTTTTGTTCTGGATTAGGCAGTGTTCCCTAGGATTATCTGCAAAGCATTTAGGCAAGACTGAGCCAAGACCTGCAAAGTCTCAGCAAGTCACTTAGAGCTATGTTGTACCTCTGTTCTGCAACTACTTCCTTGTGGGTTTGATCAATTACTTCTACAAGTAATGCACTTTCTTCTAGAAAGAACTGATTACTAATATGACAAAGATGTTCTGCACATGGCTGGCTACCTACCTTGCTGCATCTCAGTTTCTTCCCTCTGCAGCACAGATACTACTTACGAAGCAAATGAGGCATTGGCAAGAAATAATATATACAGACTTCACACAAGCCTGCCTATGACAGACTCTTCACAGTACTATGTAAATGCTATGTTTAGTATATTGTTCAGTTGGTATTAATTAGTGTTATACTAATACTACACTTAGTACTAGTGTAATGTTTAGAATATTAAGACTGTCAAGGCCTCAATATTAACAAAAGTTATTAGTTTCTGCAAGCTTAATTTACTCCTATATGTGTACTCCCATATTATTTAGTTACATGAAACATCACTTTAGAAGACTACTATTTCAAGCAATACTTACAATGGAAAATACTCCATGAAAAAGCAGCCATTCAGTATTTAGCTCTTTGCATTTCTGTAGAGTCCTTGCCTTATTCACTCATCTACCGCACAGTATTTAAACTTTGTTCTTAACAAACACAACTGTTTCTTGTTAACCTTTGTATGTTGCGCCTCACAAAAGTGTCTAGGTTCTTCAAACATTTCTGAGTTAAACGTGCAGTATCACCATCTTCTAGAACTGGGGAAGAAAAAGGCATGAAAAGTGAAACGCAAGTGTAACTATAGGCTTCCATGTGAGAGACTAAGTATCACTTTTTTACAGGTAATTAGCAATACTAAGACCTTTCCATTCTCAAAGCTGCTCCTGCCCCTCAGCTCTAAGCGTTATGTGTAACTTTGTGGCTGATCTGCAAATAACAAATACACTCTAGATTCAACTACTTTCATCCCCAAACCCTTCTCTTTTTAGCCACATTCTACATCATTACATGGGTACCTTACAGTTTTGACAAAAAAATGAGGCAGGGATTTGATAGGCAACACCACCTTCCACAAAATAATCCGTTCATCCTGAGGTGAAAACATCCTAGGTGCAAAATAAGGCT